CCCCTCCCCCAATTCTCCATCCCCTTCCCTCCTGGTCTCCGAGGACCCCGTCCTAGTCCGACCTGTCTAGGCCCGCAACCTCCGCGAAGCCGTCGGTGCCACTCCCCGCCCATGTGGGCCCCCGCGGGCTGCCCACGCCTGCCCCCCAGCTCCCCGTTCCGCTGGGCTTTCCCCTCGCCGGGGGTGGCTTTCTGAGCCGCCCGTCCCCTGCCCCTCTCTGTAGCCTCTCCTGCCACTCGGGGCCCCCGTTCCCCCTCCCGGCGGCGGGGGGCTGCCCCCGGGGGGCTGGCGGAGCTGGGCCGCGGGGGCCCCGGGGCCGGCGGTGCCGGGGTCATCGGGATGATGCGGACGCAGTGTCTGCTGGGGCTGCGCACGGGCGTGGCCTTCGCCGCCAAGCTCTGGAGCTTCTTCATTTACCTTTTGCGGAGGCAGATCCGCACGGTGAGCCTGGGTGGGCACTGGCGGTGGTGGGACCTCTGTCCGCGGCTCGCTGCTTTTCGGAAAGTGTCGGGCTTCTCTTGGGCCTAGGAAGGGAGACCTAGCGGGGATTTCCCGCTAGGGAATTAGGGCCACTTAAACAGGTAGTGGGGTGGGGAGGAGGGAGACCCTTGTAATAGAACGAGATCTGGGGGGGTTTGATGGCCTAGATTGGACAGGATTTGGCAACTCTTGGGGGCTAGAATAGTGGGTGGGGCGTTCTTCGAGAAAGCTGGAGTTGTTGCTAAAGAAACCGAGAGGCAGGGAACACCTGTTTGATGGCAGCCAGTTTTGTCGATGCGGACTTGTGAAAGACCCTCCTATCAGAATTGCAGCAAGGGAGAGAAGGGCTTATGTGTCAGGGGTGGGGGTGGCTGGGAGGGCATATGTGACAAACAAGGGTGGGAACTTGGCGAAGCCCTGGCTGTGAAGAAAAACCCCTGTGGTTCGTATTAAAGAAACTCCAAAAAGTCCTTGAAAACTTATTAGCCTATCTGGATTTAATGAGACCTCAGGACTAAGAAAGATGATTTTATGATGGGCCTCTTTAGTTGGGGATGGAGCCCATTAAAGTTTTGGGTGTCCTTGTCAGAAGACGGCTTGGCCAGTGAGGACTTTGATGTGAGAACACGCTTGCTTCTCCAAGAGACCCTAGCACTGTGAGGGATACTGGGGGGCACTGAAGCTGTGTGGAAGTACCCAAGCATCTCTGGCTTTCCTCCCCATCACTTTTCTCCAAGGTCAAAGCTTCCTTGGCTAACATTATTTAATGACTGTGCCCTTGTGTTCTCATCACCCCTGGAGAGAATTCTCTGAAGGAGTCGGGGAAGCATTTTGTAGGCTGGGTTGCAGAGACTGTAGTCTGTACTCTTTGGCATGCCTCAGTGAAATTTGGAAGAATAAAACCAGGTAGGGGCAGCCTAGGTCAAGGGCCAGAAAGGCCTGGGTGGTGATGGCAGTTGATTTAATCGGTTTGGTGGAATGGGCCTGGGCTTGAGTTCATTCTGTTACTCCTTCCATTTCCTGATTTAGGGTGGAGGCTGTTCTGGGTAGTTGTGGTTGTAGGTAGGACTATTACCCTCAGAATAGGAACCAAGAAAAATTTGAAGTCCGAGATGCTGAGATGTGTGAGGAGCTAGATCCTGGGGTTTTCTGTATGTACCATCCTCTCTGGCCCTTTCCCCTCAACACATGAGTTTTCTGGGTGGAGGCAGCAGTGCTGCAGCCCATCCGGAATCGCTCTGCTTTAGGCAGCAATGACCTGCAGCCTTTTGTCCTCCTCCTCCCAATCTGGCCTCTTCCCCTACCCCCTCTCTGGCAGATGCTTGGAGCATTCCCTGCACGCCCAGCATGTGCAACCCGAGATAGCGAGGCAGGACACCCGAGCTGTGTGGCCCTCATCACATCACCACCACCACCCAGGGAGAGAAGGACAGATGCTTTGGGATTAGGGGTAGAGGACCCTTTGGTTTGCAAGGGGGAGCCTGGTCTGGTGTGGCTTAAGGCCTAGGGACAGACGGAAGAGCAAGGTGCCTTAGAAGGAAAGAGGGGAAGAGGGAACTGCCAGGCTTTGCATGGGGTCATCTATTAGGAAATAGGAGCCTCTAGAAAAGGCTTGCAGAGCAGAGCTGGAAGGCTGAGGTGGTAACGTCCTTGTCCCTTCTTCACCTCTCACTTACAGCCCTTACTTCTCTCTGGCCTGCTCCAAACCCCGTCAGTCTGGCAGGTGGAGCTTCCCAGGGTTCTCTGTCCTGCCCTGGTACCAGGATAAGGAGGCTGGTCAGAGGGCTGAGGTTCTCTGTGACTTGTGACTTGGCTAGTAGAGACAGAAGTAGACAGGTGGCTGGTTAAAATAGGCTTAGTGGCCCCTAGCCAGAGGAACTTAGCTGACCTGACAACCTCTGGATTCCCTCATCCCCAATTCCCCTTAGGATTCAAGGGCCTCCTCTCCTGACACCTATTCCATGTGCATGGGGGAATCTGAGGCGCTCAGTTGTGAAAGTGAGGTGATGGGGATTGCTGAGAATCTCCACACGGGTGGGGGACCTGTGCATTTCTTTGTTCATGGTAGGTTAACGGCATGGTCACGAGAGCAGGTTCTTGGGTTGGGTAAACCCATTGTACTGCATGGTACAGTCTTCACTCTGCCACTTCATTGCTTCGACTGTCACTAACTGACCACCCTTGCCACCGCGATCTGTGCACTTCTGTGTTCTATACTATGATCAAGACAAAAGCCATGGTCACATTAAGTTTTCATTCTAACTGGAGAAGAAAAATAAATCAGATAGCTCTTAGCTGTGTGGCCATAGTAAGAGTATTTAATCTATCCAAGCCTCACTTTCTTCATCCTGAAAACAGGAACAATAATAATATCATTATTAGAGGGCTGGCCTTATAGCCTAGTGGCTAAAGGAGCCAGATCCCACATGACCAACTGCAGTTTAAATCCCAGCCTCAACAGCCTAACTATTTTATTTTACTTTATTTTTAATTTGACCAGAGAGGGGAGGAGTGAGAGGGAAAGTGAGAAAGCAAGCCACCAGGTCCAGAACTCAAACCGCAGTTGGCCATGTGGGAGCCCAGTGCCCTGAACTACCATGCCACCTGTCAGCCCAAGAAATATATTCTTATTAGGATTGTTCTAAGGATTAGATCCTAATGGCATTCATAGTGCCTGGCATATGGTAAACATTCACTACATTACTGTTGTTACTGGGGACTATTTCCTTGTCAGGGGTTCTAGTCTTCTTTCTTGCTCTTCTTAGGTAATTCAGTATCAGACTGTTCGGTACGACATTCTTCCCTTGTCTCCTGTGTCCCGGAATCGGTTAGGTGAGTATTCTGGCTGGGAAGACTCCTTTAAGGAGGTAGAGTTCCAGCCCTGGACCAGTGGTTGGTCAGTGTTATCCCTTCCCATTGTGATTCAGCCCAGGTGAAGCGGAAGATCCTGGTGCTGGATCTGGATGAGACACTTATTCACTCCCACCATGATGGGGTCCTGAGGCCCACGGTCCGGCCTGGAACGCCTCCTGACTTCATCCTCAAGGTGTGTGGCTGTGGAGAGTGATGAAATGCTTACCTTTTCCCCTCTCAGAGTCCCCATCCCTTGGTACCAATGCCAGCCTGAGGGAGAGAAACAGGTGATGGGGGTGGACAGGTGGCGTGTCCTCTAGCCTGTGTTGTGCTCAGGACCTCCCCCAGCCTCTCCTTGTTCCTCTTCAGGTGGTAATAGACAAACATCCTGTTCGATTTTTTGTACATAAGCGGCCACATGTGGATTTCTTCTTAGAAGTGGTGAGTCTGTGGGAGCTAAGTGGAATTCTATGATGAAAAATAGTTTCAGGGCTCTGGGGATTTGGAGAAAGGGATGAAGAGAAATGGGTAAAGGCAGTTTTGGAGAGGGGTGGCTGGAGGCTGGTAGGGGATTGTTTTCCAGTAGTTGGAATTCATTTGTTGTATTGATGTACATCCGTTCTTCCTTAGTCATCCAGCTCTTTTGTTCTTGCATCTCTAGAGTCTGCCTCAGACATTGAGTCTGGAGGTTTGCGGGGTTTAGAATTTTTTGTCTCCAGATACATTTGATGTTGCTGGAAGGCCTGAAGGACCAGGCTGGAGTCCTAGTGAAAAAGAACCGTATGACTGAATGATCTCCTTATATGACATGTTCCTCTATTCCAATCTATTTCAGGTGAGCCAATGGTACGAGCTGGTGGTGTTTACTGCAAGCATGGAGATTTATGGCTCTGCTGTGGCAGATAAACTGGACAATAGCAGAAGTATTCTCAAGAGGAGATATTACAGACAGGTATGGAATGGACTAAGAGTGGGCGGAGGAAGCAGGCCCCTGGGTGGGCTGGGTTTAAGCCAGCTGCCCTAGAGAGGTAGGAGAGGTGGACTACACAATCCCTTTGCCTCCCAGCACTGCACTTTGGAGTTGGGCAGCTACATCAAGGACCTCTCTGTGGTACACAGTGACCTCTCCAGCATTGTGATTCTGGATAACTCCCCAGGGGCTTACAGGAGCCATCCAGGTATGTGGGAAGGTGGCAGGGTGTGGTTCTGGAGAGGTATTTTGAATGCAGGGAACTAGGAGACAGACTTGGGTCCTTGAGAATTGAGATTCCCCATTTTACCGTAGGACCAGGTGCAAGTTCTTTCACTACTTCAAATGAGATACCCCCTCCCAGTATGTGCATTTCATAAACCAGATTTTTCATATCAATTCTCTTTCCTTTTTTTAAAAATAAGGTTCAATAAATGTGACTAGAAAGTCCACACTAGTATGAGATCTGGTGATTAAAATTAAATTTTAGTGCGGGGACCAACAGTCGCTGGACTCCCATGTGCTCGACCGCGGTTCGAGCCCTGGACCCGGTGGCTTAAACTCAGGCTGGCGCGTGTGCGTGTGTGCTCAAGATCCCGAGAGGAGAAAGGAGGAGAAGGGATTGCGGCGTGGCCATCTCCCCAGGGTGTGATTTCTCCCTTCCTGTCTCTATGTTTCTCTCTCTTTCTGGTGAGCGCACGCACTCTATAGCAAAAACCTTTCCAAAAAAAAGAAAAAAAGAATTTTAGTGGGGCCAGCAGGTGGTGTGGTGGTTAAAGCAACTGAACTCCCATATGATCAACCGCGCGGTTCAAGTCCTGGACCCGGTGGCTTGAAACTCACACAAGACACATGCACACGTGCCCCAAATCCCAGGAGGAGAATAGAGGAGAAAGGATTATGGTGTGGCCATCCTTCCTGGGGAGTGATTTCTCACTTTCTCTCTCTCTCTCTCTCTCTCTTTCTTTCTCTCTCTCTTTTCTCTAGCAAGCACATGCACCCTATGGCAAAAATGATAAAAAAATAAATTTTAGTTTGGAGGATAAATCAGGCTGTGACTTTGGGCAGGGGAATGTAGATATTTTAAAGTGATGATTCCTTCACTCTCCAATAAGAAAAAAATACCTAGTCTTCCTGAAATCCTTTGTTTCTTCTCATCTGCATTTCCACTCACCCTAGACAATGCCATCCCCATTAAATCCTGGTTCAGTGACCCCAGCGACACGGCCCTTCTCAACCTGCTCCCCATGCTGGATGCCCTCAGGTAAGGGAAGTAGGCTTTAGATATCTGGACACTGAGGAAAAGAGGAAATGGGGGATCCTAAGAGGGAATTTTAAAGTAAAATCTTGTCCTATTTTGCTTACCTCTCCTCTTTTGAGAACTTGGCACTGGGGCCTGTTTATAGTGTGGTGGTTAGGGTGACTGAATTCCACATGGCTGTATGTGTGGCTCAAGTCCTGGACCCTGTGGCTTGAAAAACACACCAGATGTGTATGCATGTATGGGTGCATGCCCCAAAAATCCTAAGACGAAAATGGAGGAGAAGAGACTGTGTGGCAAGGCCATCTTCCCTAAGGGGTGCTCTCTCTGTCTTCCTCTCTCTTTCTGCCTGGCTCTCTAACCAGCGCACACGCTCTATGGCAATTTTCAAAAAGGAAAAAAAAAAACTGAACATTTAGGTCTGTTCTTACTCCAGAGTTTATCACTTCCAGCCACTGGATTTTGAGCAAATCAAAGCCGTCTCACCGTGTGAAAATGGTGACAATATCTACCCCGCATCTCCAGTGAGGCTGCCTTACATGGGTGTTGTGAGGGTATCAAGTACGTGGTACTCTACCAACGCAAATTCTTGTCGTTCCAGGTTCACCACTGATGTTCGTTCTGTGCTGAGCCGAAACCTTCACCAACATAGGCTCTGGTGACAGCTGCTCCCCCTCCACCTGCATTGGGGTGGGGGGGAAAGGGAGGGCGAGCCCTTGGGATGCCGCCTGATGCCCTGTCAGATGTGAGGACTGCCTGGGCAGGGTCTGCCCCTCCCACCCCTCTCTGCCCTGGGAGCCCTATACTCCACTTGGAGTCTGGATGGACACATGGGCCGACTCTGAAGCAGCCTCACTCTAACTTCACACTCCATGGAACCCCAGACTGGGACAGAAGCCATGGCCTAGGAGAGCCGAAACAGTGTCTGATGGAGAGGCAGTACTGGCCAGCGTGACAGTCCTATGGTGATCCGGGAGGCTCAGAGAGAAGCCAAGTCAGCTTTGTTGTGATTTGATTTTTAAAAAACTCTTGTACAAAACTGATCTAATTCTTCACTCCCGCTCCAAGGGCTGGGCTATGGGTGGGGGATTGGGATTTTGGGCCACTGGATTTTCCCCAAACTTGTTCTTCCCTTACTTGCCCTCTATTTTTCTCCCCTAGATCCCCTCAGACCTGTAACTTTTTTTTTTTTTTCCCTTTCATCTCTTTTAAACCACGCATTATAACTTTGAAACCAAAGCTGCCCCAGGTCCTGAGTTTTTGGGAAACCTAAGGGAGGGGAACTGGTTCATAGTCACCCTGTTCGGAAGCAGAGAGGAGGGAAGAGACTGCGGTTGGACCCCAGGGGTAAGGGAAAGGATGTTGAGTGTGGGTTTGGAGTAGTGAACTCAGCGACACCAAATGCTGTGACGCAAAGGACCGAGAGGCAGGCCGTATGCCCTGGTAGGGGCAGCAGGATGCAAAAAACCTATCTGCCCGAAAGGGCTCGGAGCTGCAGAAGAAGCGGGTTTCGTCTAGGAGACCGACCTGGACAGGCTGAGCAGGCGCTGCCCCTAGGCGGCTGCCACCCAGGACCTCTGCCGGGCCGGGCGGGGTGGGGCGGGGCGGGGCCGCGCCGCGCCGCGCCGCCCCCAGCTCTTGCCCAGCGGGCTCCACCTCCCTAGCGCCCTTTTCCCCTCAAAGCCGGTCCTACTTCTTCGCACCGCCACGTGACGCTCCGCCCTTCTCAGATCACATGATGTCACAGTTACAAACCTGACAGTGTTCCTCCGCGCTGGCGTAGTCCCTGCCTTTCGGCCCTCCTCTCCAGTCCCTATTGGTCTGTTCATTCCTGGAACCTAAGCTTTCTATACGTCTGTTCAGACATCTGTTTCTTTGCTGCCCTCTCGTTTCTGGAGCCTCTCTCCGCCACTTGGGTACTACTTTGTTTTGGTGTCAACGGCCGCCTTCAGCGTAGCAACATGTTTCGTGAATAGCTATCTTGTAATTGTCTCTCCTCTTCCCCTACGTTACTTCCGAAAAGAACCTTTGGAAAGCCAAGTCTCATGATTACCGTGCCCTATCCTTTTCATCTTCACCGTCGTTGGGGGGGGTGGTCGAGAGAGGAGTTTTCAGTTATTTCCCACAGTAAAAGCCAACCTCCTTTGCTACGTCGCCTACGTAGCTCACAAATTGATTCCGAAGCGATTCCGCCGGTGGCGTGAGAGAGGCGGTCAGTGGGTGGCGCTACGCTAGCAGCGCTAGCGCGGCTGAGTTAGTGGCGTATCTTAGCAGGCGGGGCCGTCCAGATGATCGGGGGCGGGGTTGGTGAATAGGGAAGTGGCGCAAATTCGTGGATCGCTCCGCTGAATCCGCCCGCGCGTCGCCGCCGCCTTCGCCGCCGCCGCCGCCCCCCATCCCGGCCCCCCCGGGTTCCCTCAGCCCAGCCTGGTCCAGCCCGGTTCCCGGGAGGATGAAGTTCGTGTATAAAGAGGAGCATCCGTTCGAGAAGCGCCGCTCTGAAGGCGAGAAGATCCGAAAAAAATACCCGGACCGGGTCCCGGTGAGGACGGTAGCCAGGGCGAGGGCGCAGGGAGCTGACGCTGACGCCACTGCCTGGGCTTGGATCTGGGACCGGCAGCTCAGGGATCAAGCTGCTGTCTGTGGCGGGGTTGGGAGCCAGGCAGAAACTGCCCTCTCTGGGACGGGGTAGATTTGTGGGGTAGCAGTGGCGCTTGGATTGGGGTGGGGGGAGGGAAGAGACCTTGGCATTAACATACTGGAGGCCTTAGGAGCGTGACAGCCAGACCTTCACATAGTCATCCCCTAGCTAGTTAGCTTTGCAAGATCCATGCCCTGGTGGGCTCAGACAAGTCATCCCAGTCTGATTAAGATACTTATGATGCCTTGTTGGATGTTTAGGTGAGCTCAAGTCAGTGGGGTCAGGATCTCTGGGCTCAATGCTGGCTCTGCGTATATAGAGACAAAGACAAATGAGGCTGGGGTAGGTTTCGGTACAGAGAATACTGTTGCTGGAGTTATTGACACAGTTGCAGCTGTGGGTCCATACTCCTTGATATTTACTAATTTTCCATCTTTCCTTAATCAGGTGATAGTAGAAAAGGCTCCCAAAGCTCGGATAGGAGACCTGGACAAAAAGAAATACCTGGTGCCTTCTGATCTCACAGGTGGGAGTCTGACCCAAGACCCAGGTTTGCGTCTGTGTTGGTAGGAATGCAATCGCTGTGGGAGGAGGCTCCACCTACCAGCTGTTTTGGGGGGCATTTTTTACCTCTGTGACTTTCTTGTATTTTATATTTTTGGTAGTTGGTCAGTTCTACTTCTTGATCCGGAAGCGAATTCATCTCCGAGCTGAGGATGCCTTGTTTTTCTTCGTCAACAATGTCATTCCACCCACCAGTGCTACGATGGGTCAGCTATACCAGGTATGGTGACTGGAAAGTCCTGAGGCTCTGGAGAGGAGTCTTCAAAGACTTTGAGGGAAAGAAGATGTTGGGTTTGCAGTTCTTAAACACATTTTTTAAGAGGTTTTTGCTATTGCGTGCTCGTCAGGAAGACAGACAGAGACAGAGAGACAGAAAGCGAGAAATCACCCCCCAGGGGGGATGGCCACGCCAGAATTCTCTCTTCCATTCTCTCAGGATCCTGAGCACACACACACATGTGCATCTGGTGTGAGTTTAAGCCAACAGGTCTGGGACTCGAACCACAGTTGACTACATGGGAGTCCTTGGCTTTCTTGCCTTAAAATGTAATGGTAGTGGGCCAGATAGGTGGCATGATGGTTGAGGCACCTGGATCCCATGTGGCTAACTGCTCGGTTTGGGTCCTGGATCTGGCAGCTTGGGGAACATACTACGTGTGTGTGTGTGTGTGTGTGTGTGTGTGTCCAGAATTCATAGGGAAGAATAGAGGAGAAGGAATTGCTGCATCTAGAGCAAATAAGTTCAAACTTTCTCCACAGAACCCCAACCTGCACTCACGAACCCCCACACTGGGGGGTAATTTCTCTCTTTCTCTCTCTCTCCCTACCCTGGTGAGTGCACGTGTCCTATAGCAAAGTTAAAAAAAATTTTTTTCATGATGGTCCTGAGTTGGGGTTGTGGACAGAGTAGTGGTAGTAGAGAGAAGGGAAGAGAACAGTGAGCTACAGGAACTACTCAAATTTTTGTCCAAGACTATTGCAGAAATGGTATTACTCTACTGCTAGGGTCTAGACCCAGTGAGGGAGACAGTCAAGCACTGGTTTTTAGGGTCTTCAAAAAATCGTTTTTGGAAAAATGTGTCTGAATGGTGGATGGTTCAAATAACTGAAGTCAGTTGCCTGAAAACGGTTTCTGCTCTCCCCTAGGAACATCATGAAGAAGACTTCTTTCTATACATTGCCTACAGTGATGAAAGTGTCTATGGTCTGTGAAGCTGCTGCCCCTGAAGTGGGGGGTTCCCATTCTACAGAGAGAGGTGGCCCCCTTCCTTGACCTCCTCCTCCTCCTCCAGGCTCAGACACCACCTCCCTTCTTCAGGACCTGCACTACTTCATGTTTGAGGCTTTCTCTCCAAGTTCCTCTTAGCAGGAGGGATGATGGTGGAGATGGCCTCTTGTACCTCTTCTCTCCTTCCCTTTTCTTTCCTGGCCTTTCCCATTCTGCTTTTAGACTGCTTGATTGTCAATCTCTGTCATATCCAGTGATTGTTTTGGTTTCTCTTCCCTTTCTAACTACCCACGGGGCTCAGAACCCCAACGGTCCCTTCATTTCACTACCTTCTTTTTGGGGGGTAGATGGAAGGGACTGCAA